CCAGATCAATGATTTTCTTTGACAGGCTTTCAACAGAATTTTTTCAAATTTACTGGCATTTTCTTTTTGAATGTCACACGATTCAGTACCGACATTATGTGCTAGGATGACATCCAGTTCAGGCAGAACGAACGGCTGACAAAGCAGTTCGCTGATGGCGTCCTCGGCTTTGTCCTTCAGCAGCTTCTTCCGTCGGTCTCTCACCCGCTTGACTTTCGTCCCAACTGCTTTCGCGTTCACTTTGTCTATTTCCTTGCCATCCACTGCTGACAACAGCAAAATCAGCGACTGCAAATTTATTTGCGTGTTTGTAGTCCACGACAGATGTTCAAGAACGAGGCTGTTCGTCAGCTGGCCAGGACTATCCACTGCTACCCGCCCTGATGGCGAGTCAAGACGGAGCGCTTTGCAACTTTTTACGCGTCAGAGACAGCTTCTTGCACAGAGGGCCAATCCAAGACTCATCTTTCTCGCACGCCATGGCGTTCTACTAAATTTCGCGAACAACCGCGACTCGTCAGCAAGATACAAGGAACTGATCTAAACTAAATCGAGGGTGCAGAATCCGATTATCGATGTTGCGAGTGTGTGCAATGCTTGCATCAAATCGCAAATTGACTTTGAAATCATTGAAAGACGCACGAATCCAGTCTTTTTTACGCCATTTCACCGAGATTGGTACCAAATGAAAGCTCAAAACCTCTACTCTCATGTAAACCCGTTCGATTTTGTCTCCAAGCGTCACTGCACCATCCAGTGACAGTTGAACGCCTCCGCAAAAATTGTGCCATGCGCAGATCCCCAAATCAATGCAGCTGCATGAAGGCTCTTTCGGGCCAAAAAGTCACGTGACTGAAATCCCTACTCTAGATACCCAAGCAGAACAGCAGGAATACGATCCTCTTGGCTTGCTATTACTGATCGCCACTAATTTTGCGTCCGGTGTCTCTCCTCATTATCCCTGGCCGCCAGTGATCCAGACCTACCGATGCGTTACCTCACTTCACTCATTGCAACAGCCATGGGGTGAACAAGAATGCTTCACGGCTACATACTACTGGAGAAGACTTACCTGAACAAGACAAAAACCACACAAAACGAGACCTGACTGAGAACTAAAAAAGGAAGGAAAAGATTAGCAGCATACAAGCATGCGCAGCAATACAGCAGTTCTACACATGACATTGATGTCAATGTTGCTTATACATGTACACTGCTGAGGAGCGCAGAACACTGCAACAACAACATACTACAAGCTATTCAGGTGGAAAACACAAGATAACACAAGAGCAAGAGACCATAACAAGTCTTTCACCAAACAACAAAGCCAAGCAAATCAAATGAATGGCCTGCCAAAATCAAAAATTTTGTAATGTTTCAACAAATATTTATCAGTTTGATGGAGCTAAAAGGCCATCGGGAAAAAAGGAATATAATTCATGTCTTTTTCAGAATGCTGGTTGTAGCCAACAATAGCCCGGATGTAGTACACAATGTTGTGAATGTGTTTGCCAACTCCGTGTTGTATTGCCTCTTCCAACAGATTTTTGTTCTGATGCGAACTGACTCGTATCCGAAGTTCCTCCGTTCACCAGTGTTTCAAGAGTGGATGACGCTGGAGGTGTCAGGCGATCCGTTGCCTTGTGATACAGCTGCTGAGAAGAAAGCCAAGGCGTCCCAAAAGGTCAGCATCCTTCCAAGTTATTGGTATCTTAGTCATTTCGAATTTGTAACAACTGCATAGAGAAGAATCTGGGGGCTACTTCAAAAATAATGTTCGAAGCAAAGTGTTTCTATATGCGGATCCATTGTTGTGCTTGCCTTGTATGAATATGTTTTCCGTCCTGTGTATTGCAGAAGAAACGTCTCGGTGGGTTTATCTCCGGCAAAAGCAAGAAGTCATCGAAACCTGAATCATCTGGTTCTCGAGAAGCTGAAGACGCCTATTCCACTTCCTCTAAACCTGATGTGTCAAGCAAGTGGCTCCAACCGGAGAAGGTCAATCCATCGCGAAGTGAGGGAAAGCTGAATCGGACGCCAAAGGTATAAAGTTTTATGCTTCTAGCAGTATGTGTGCAGACAAGGCAGGGGTGGTTGCATACACTATTTCTTTTTGTATGTTTAAGGGGTTTTGTGTATGTGTACGAAGCTGCATGAAAAGGTCCTGCCGCCGTCCAGTGGGTATGTCCAGTTTGATTTTGCTCTGTGATGTGTGGTATACTATAGTCTCCAGGAGAGTGCCATCTCTCTGCTTGTTGAAGTGAGAGCACGTGCACACCACTCTTCCACTTTTGCCCGTACATCCAATAATCGTCTGCCATATTTTACATCATTCTGTACCCTTTCTGTTTTCCGCAGAATTCGCCGCAGCATTCTGCACTACAACCGCACAACCTGTCACCAGCTGGATCTGAGAAGTCCCTCGCAATTTCAATGACAAGCTCTCCCAGCATATCAAAGAAAGACCGCCATGCACAGAAGAGTGGCAAAAGTAAGCGTGCGTTGTGTTTGACTGTTGCCTCGATGGCTACATGGATAGGGTACGATGCCCAAAGAACCGTAGGCTCCAAGACAACAATGTGTACGTGTGGCTTCGGTGCTTCATGCTATATGATTGAGTCTGGCCCAGTGATGTCACACATCTCCATGAGATAGGCAATGCCGGGGTGTTGCATTGATGTGAATTTTGTGTGCACACTGTACCTGCAGAGTACTCCTTCTTCCACAAGAAAGACAAGCAGCCAGGTATGTATTTGTTCTCTTCCATGCTGAAAGGGTCCTCTATTTTGCAGCCTGAATGTTGAAAATGAAACGATGTCATAGTTCACGTGAGTCAGACAGACTTCAGGGTAGATTTGTAGATTTCTCATCTCTCCCCGAGTCTCTGGAATATGATCTGTGCGCTTGTCATAGGTCCTGTCAGCTGCTGGCAGAGTAACACCAATGGCTTTGGCTGGCTAACTTAGCCGAGCACAAGCGGCATGTGAATGCCGGTAGTCCAATGTGGCATTGTCTGCTGGAATGAGATGTGTGGCTATGCTGGTGTGTGAAATCTGTAGTGGCAGCAGCCAAACAACATGTGTGTACCACGCTTTCCGTTTACCCTTTTCTCCGTTCTTGCAGAAATTCAGGTGAACTTGCCGTCTGGTGGTTATATATTTGAGGACCCTGACCCAGGATTGGTAAGAACGGCTTCAGTACTCTAACAATGGATACTCTAACAATGGCAGTTGTAATAATGGGCTTGCCTTTCACTCTCTATTAGACCATGCTGATGGCCTTGGCCTCATAGAACTTGACCCGTGATCCGAAATCAGATGTTTGCAATCTGTGAATATAGTGAAGTGGCCAACCTGCACGTCTAGTGGGGCAGATACTCCATGCTACAGCACAATGCAACACCGAGTTGTAACAAAAAGCGGGCAGAACGTTCCTGGAACAGCTCTAAGACATTGGGATGCATCTGAGGAGTTCACCACATCCGGTTATGCACACATGCCAGTAATTTGGCTGCTTATTGCTGTGCTCGTGTACAGGAGGACATGAAGGATGATGAAATCCTCTTGAAGGTGACGTTCACGGAGCATAGCTGTGGAACTGTGAGGCGTAAGAAGTCGACTAGCATTCGGGAAGCAATTGAGCCTATCTGCGAGCGTGCCGGGTATAGCTGCAAGTGCGTTGTTGTTTACGAGCAAGTTCAGTCTATTGAAAGGGTAAGGTTGCAACCATACCAGTTATGCTATGCTCAGGAAGTTCTATTCTATTCTTGTCCTGGTCTACACCTCCACAGAGTGTGTAGTTCGTTAGCTGCAGGCCTTCATTGCCATTGAATGTCTCGCTCATAAATGCTGCTTTCTGCCCCAACTCTACTATGACGTATGCCTCCATATAATTATGTACTTACTATCTGTTGTGAGATATTTTCTTATGAATCTCTGTTGTGCGTGTGTATTTCCCCATATGGATGCACAATGTACATGCAGGAAGTCGACATGGCTCTACAGGTGGGCAGTCTACAGGGCTCACAAATCCGAATAGTGCTACTACCATGCATAAAGTAAGTCCTTGTGAAGTGTGTGCATGAATTTGGACAGAACTTCAAGAAAAAGGGAAAAAGTGCAATTTCAAAGAATTTCTTATCTAGGGCAATAAATAGAACACTCATAGCTGGTTGATATATAGCCATCAGTGTGATGCGGAACTATGGTACACCTTCGTACTACTGCCTTGTCTGACCTGTGCTAGTCGGATCTAGACTGGCTTACAGAAGATGCCTGGAAAGTTTATGTACAGTGTACTGCAGCAGAAGCCACTGTCCTATATCTATTTCCCGCCCATTGCTCAGCATACAGTAATGTCGCTTATAAAAGCAGGTGCTTACGTCCGTATAAGCCGAGGTTCAAACCATGCTTCAATTCAAAACATGCTTCCACATTAAAATCATCAGTCTACACTGTGCAGTGCATAGTGCCACATACGTACTTGCACATGTACTTGGCATAGACAGGCTTCTATTCAAATCCTGCTTCTGTGTCACGGCGTGCTTTGAAAATATCGGCTTCTATTCGAGACATGCTTTTATACGCGACACTACAGTAGTTGCATTTGGTCATTTCTGCATTTGTCCACAGACTTCACCTTCCTGACAACAGCTTTGAGTTTCTAGTCGTTCCGGATGGCAACAAGAAGTCCATCTCTGGCTTGGTGGATCACTATCTGAATCGCTTTGGTCTGAGTTACATTGATGACGGTGTCACAGCCACAAACCTGGTGAGTGTAAAAACAGATTTTTGATGTGCACAAAACAAGACCACGCTAGCGATGAGTTCTTTACTATTTTTGCATTGACAATGCATCGCCGGTATCAGTGTCGTGGTCACTGTACATTTGGTAGCTGTAGAAGTTGTGCTTTTCTTCAGCTACACCGACATTTCACATAATCATGATTAGTGTTGTTTCCTTGAACCGATATCCATTGAACCGATATCCACATGTACTGTATGTAGGGGTTGATGTATGGTGTTTCTCTCGCATGGCATTTACATGCAGAGCGGAGAGCGAGTTCATCCGTTCGCCAATCCCCTGAGCTACGTGAATTCAACACTGGTGCTGAATTTCGATGCCGGCCTGATGACTACTAGAGGTGAGGAGGCTGTGCACCGGTGCTAGGCAAAGTTGTATCGTGCTAGTGGACTGAACAATGCACTGTCGTAATCACTGCAGTCACCCTTTCAAGTGAGATACAGTCCGAGCTCGTTAGTCCCAACTACATGTATATGATTGATTTGAGAGTGAATAGCTAGTCTGGTTTCATTTGGTAGTTCAATTTTCTAGTAAGGATGTAGTGGGTATTGTGTGCTATGGCCATTGCTACTATTTGTTTCTTTATCGTTCTGTCCTGGTCAGCTCGGCGACTATCTGGGGATTCAGCAGTGTCTGCAGCCAGTGCATCGAGTGTTCAATCTGTGTCTCCGGTGAAGTCACCTGCCAGGGTGCGGTCCAGCAGCTTCCGCAAGGCCAGCCCGTTTAGTCGTAAGAGCAGCCGGGCAAGTCCCAGCGGAAGTCCTGCTCCTTCGCGTGGCAACAGGTAAACAAAGGAATGAGAATGGCGTCAGCTCCTTGTGTGTCATGTGAGAGCTTGCCAATCGATCTGTTGGAGTATTGGCTGGTGGCTGGTGTGAGATTGATCAAGTGGTAGAACTGTGCTGGCCTCTGTCTGTAGTTAATCCTAGCCTACCAAAGCCGTATAATAGCTGATACTAGTAGTTGCATCACTCTCCCAACTCTGCTTTCCACGTACTTGTATATGCAGGTATTCACAGTTTTCCGATGAAGGAGACCTCTCCAGCCAGAGAACATCGTCACCAGGCCGCTCCTCAGTGAGCACTCTCCGCAAGGAAATGGTTGAATCTCCAGTTAAACCACCTGTGAGCCCAGATTCCCGTAAGTGACTTATGCCACAAGTTTGTAACTACTGTCGTGGCTAAAGAAACCCGAACCATGTGCCGAACGCAGTGCCAAGGCTCGTGCGGGCCCTGCGGCCCTAGGATCAGTTTTTGGAACAACGTGCATGGTCGGTCAACGGCTGTAGTGGTTATAGCTCACTCAATCTGCAGACACTAGTACTGTTTCCTCCCTGTGGACTGTAGAGCACTGAGAAATGAATTCTAAAAAAATATAGAAATACAATTCTACAAAGCAACATATAAAATCGGGGCCGAGCATACCTTGCCATTGGCCTGAGAATGAGCATACCTTGCCATTGGCCTGAGAATGAGCATACCTTGCCATTGGCCTGAGAATGAGCATACCTTGCCATTGGCCTGAGAATGAGCATACCTTGCCATTGGCCTGAGAATGAGCATACCTTGCCATTGGCCTGAGAATGAGCATACCTTGCCATTGGCCTGATAATGACAAATAGTGAGCTGCTATGTAGTTTCATGACCGATTGATTGATCGATTTATTGATTATATTTCACTGAACACCTCGATGATCCCGACGAGCCCTTGTCTTTTTCAGGATATTCGGAGCCCTTTATTCCCTGGTGCACTGACTGTGCATGTATTGATATTATTATCCTATTTTGCACTGCAGTAATTTTGATTCATGCTGACTTACTATCTCCCTGGATGTCTTGGAGTATATGATGGGAATGGTTGTAAGAACATGTTTTGTTTTTATACACACTTGAAAGGAATCAAAAGCGTTTCTGCTGCAACTGTTCTGTTTCTAAAGGATTTCAGGGTTTTAAGTGACTTTCCACCGCTTGCTTTTTTCCCTCCTCGTCTGCCTGTAGAAAACGCCTTGTTTGACTTAGTTGAGAAAGCACAGTGCGATTCTATGGATAATCAACGAGCGACTCTGCAGCTCCCGGCTGCTGGCGGTGCTCCGTCATATGGACCCGGCTTCACACCGCCACTGTCTGAATCCGATCCGGCTGCGTTTCAGTTTGACAGCACTGCTGCGGGTTCGAACGGTGGTCTGGCTCCTCGTGCAGCTGTTGGCGAAATCCTCAAGAACAGATTACCTGCACAGATGTCCGCAGATGAGCTGCTAGTCACACGGAGAATGAGTGCGTCGCCTCAAACGTACAGGCATCGGATTGAGGCCAGTGGGTCCCGTGGCAGCACAAGCAGTCTCAACCTTTCCAAGCTCTCTGTCGAATTACACGCCTCAGTCGAATCTCTACCTAGCAGTCTTAACAGATCGAGCGGCAGCCGGCGTCTACTGAAGAGTCTTAGTCGTAGTCTTAGTAAGCTGTCTGGATCAACATCTGACATGCAACTCAACCCGTCCGTCCTTGCAAGCATGCTGAAGGATGGCGAGAGAGCCGAAACGCCGTACACTCCTGGTGAAGCCAGCGACCAGGACCGCACACAGGACACCCTGAGCGCTGCGTCTCCTGAACTCGGCAATGCCCAGGGTTACACGGCAGCAAAGGATGGTGTAACTGCTTTGCCTTCATCTTCTGGTTTGCGGCATGAAGCTGCCTCTCATTCTGTCGTGTCGCTTCCTATCTTGCCCGGCTCGCGCCATCAGGCCGGGGAAAGGGGGAGGGCAAGAGTTGGCAGTGTAAATAGTAAGAGTAGTAGCAGCAAGCTCAAACTGAATAGTTCCAGCGAATCTAGTAGTGATGAGGATGATATGAGCAACAAACCAAGAACTGGAAAGCGAATGAGAGTGGATGAGGTGTGAAGAGCGTCTTGCTGTTATGAATTTTCTATTTCTAGGTGTTTAGTATGTAGCGGGCATATAGTTCCAGTTTGTCGCGAGCGATTGTGTGTGTGTGTGTGTAGGTGCGTTCGCATATATTCCGAAGTATATGTGTGCATCTCCAGGTCAACATCTACTTCCCTGTCTCTATTTTTACTCCAGCAGCTTGCCCCACCCTTTTCTTTTGACTCAAATTGTCCAACAAAAATTTCTGTCCTCATCAGCACTTGATCATGTTCACTTGAAAAGGATTTCTCCCGTATTGACTATCCCATCAATATTTCCTTGTTGCGCAATCGTAACACCTCCGGTTTGGTCTATGCGACTGTTTTTTACCAACAATATTATATTATTCCATCTTGAAATATGGAAATTACTTACATTATATGCACAAGTGGATTTGAGTTATCTCTCACCCTGCACCCCCATTGATTAGGCAAATACAATGCCACCATATTTCCAATTCCCTACCCCGGATTTTGAACTAGCAGTTTCAGAACGGTAACGGCTCTCTCGCTTTGCACGTTACTTGTGACACTAGGGCCCGGCGAATAATGCTAGATATTTTCGGCAATTCTGCTACTGGCAATGCTAGTAAAAGTGGCAAATTGTGCCATTGTGCTCAGGGGTGGCTAAATAGTACACACACCCAAAGTTATACCTCGCTTAACCGCACACAATCGTTTCCCACAAAAAATATCCGGATAGGCGAGGGAACCGGATAATCGAACACACGTACTGTATGTATGCATGACGTATGCTGTAAATCAGTAACCAACGATTTCCGATTTTCTTCCGGATGGCGAGGGATCCGGATTAAAGAGGACCGGATAAGCGAGGTCAGACTGTACGAGCTTCACAAAAAATATGTGGAAGTATTAGTTGTCATGTACTGGCATATGTATGATTGCTGCGCAGGCATCAGTATATGTGTGAGTAGTAATAATATCACCCTTCATGCCTAACATGTATTACAGTACTGTCGGGCGCCGAAGAACTGGGGGGGTGGGTCAGGGTTTTAGCTTAGCCCGTTCTTATTTTTAGCAAACACAGTTTCGTTCTTATTCGATGGTACAGTCTTACGTGTACATTTATGCAGAGTTATACGCTGGGTGTACATTATCGTGTATATTACGGTTTCCGTTCTTATCTGCAAAAATCCAGCCTACACCGTTATTAAAAATTGGTGAAATTCTAGCCCGGCCGTTCTTCGGCGCCCGACAGTAGTGTCGGGCAACCAGAGATCTGCTCAATGAAATCGGTGTGTGTGAGTCAAGTGACGTGTAGATCTTCTACCCTGCACGGTGCACCCAGTGTTCACACTGTGTCTGGGTGTTCCCGCCACTGCACCAGGTCTGGGTTTTCACGGGGCTGGGCCAGGTCTGGGTTTTCACGGGGCTGGGCCAGGTCTGGGTTTTCACGGGGCTGGGCCAGGTCTGGGTTTTCACGGGGCTGGGCCAGGTCTGGGTTTTCACGGGGCTGGGCCAGGTCTGGGTTTTCACGGGGCTGGGCCAGGTCTGGGTTTTCACGGGGCTGGGCCAGGTCTGGGTTTTCACGGGGCTGGGCCAGGTCTGGGTTTTCACGGGGCTGGGCCAGGTCTGGGTTTTCACGGGGCTGGGCCAGGTCTGGGTTTTCACGGGGCTGGGCCAGGTCTGGGTTTTCACGGGGCTGGGCCAGGTCTGGGTTTTCACGGGGCTGGGCCAGGTCTGGGTTTTCACGGGGCTGGGCCAGGTCTGGGTTTTCACGGGGCTGGGCCAGGTCTGGGTTTTCACGGGGCTGGGCCAGGTCTGGGTTTTCACGGGGCTGGGCCAGGTCTGGGTTTTCACGGGGCTGGGCCAGGTCTGGGTTTTCACGGGGCTGGGCCAGGTCTGGGTTTTCACGGGGCTGGGCCAGGTCTGGGTTTTCACGGGGCTGGGCCAGGTCTGGGTTTTCACGGGGCTGGGCCAGGTCTGGGTTTTCACGGGGCTGGGCCAGGTCTGGGTTTTCACGGGGCTGGGCCAGGTCTGGGTTTTCACGGGGCTGGGCCAGGTCTGGGTTTTCACGGGGCTGGGCCAGGTCTGGGTTTTCACGGGGCTGGGCCAGGTCTGGGTTTTCACGGGGCTGGGCCAGGTCTGGGTTTTCACGGGGCTGGGCCAGGTCTGGGTTTTCACGGGGCTGGGCCAGGTCTGGGTTTTCACGGGGCTGGGCCAGGTCTGGGTTTTCACGGGGCTGGGCCAGGTCTGGGTTTTCACGGGGCTGGGCCAGGTCTGGGTTTTCACGGGGCTGGGCCAGGTCTGGGTTTTCACGGGGCTGGGCCAGGTCTGGGTTTTCACGGGGCTGGGCCTGCTGCTGCACAGTACCATGATTATTATTATTATTATTAATTATAGTGACTCACAAGGCAGATTGAGTGACTCACAAGGCAGATTGAGTGACTCACAAGGCTGTATAGACCGGCGACTGCAACAAACGACCAAGTTTCCATGGGTTGTCCTGGACAGTCCACCAAGAACCTATGGGCACATGATAAGAAGAACACACAAAAAAAAACTTTCAATGTTGATCCTACAGTCATCTTCTTGGTGATGCACTGCGGAAACCAACTAATAAACTGTGACATAACGAAGCTGTCGGCATATGCCTATGCACAATCATGTACATTGTACATGATTGTACATGTACATCCTCCCTCCCCCATGCAATCACGCCTACTGATTCTCTCCTCCAGAAGCAACCAACAGCCCTTATTACGGAGTCCTGATAGCGGACTTGTAGTGAGCATTGTCATTCGGGGATCTTTATACAATGCTTTGAAACAAGTACAAGAGAAAATTAACTGGTAGCAACGAATGAGTGAAGAGGCATTCACAATGATAAACCTTTCTGCAGAGTTTTTATGACTCCTCAAACCCAGATAACAAAATTAGTGAGCATTTCACTCATGCTCTTTTTGTAGTGTAAGTTCAAAGTGCGAAAATTCTCCGTGTACAGTACTTCGTCATGCATATCGCCGTAGTAGGATCAAGTTTTCAGTCAGCCAGCCGCCCCATCAACATATTCTGCACATCCATGCGCATTGCCCACTCTCATACACCGGTCCAGCTGCATGACTTCAACCACACACCAGTTTCATGCATGTAACTGCCAAGAAAATTATACTTTAACTTTGAATGTTCACCCTTCACATGATACTGGACGCTGTGTACAACATATCGATTATGCTGGGGCAACCACTGTAGAATCTGAATTGCTGGAAGCCAGGCATAAGTAGTTCACACAATTAGTTTGAGGCAACACTGGAATCACCTTGCTTGCGTACCTTGAATCAGGAGTAGTACTGAATGATACTGAGTGATGGGCAACCAGAGCTACTACAGTAAGAAATGCTGGTTTCACTGCCAGAGTCGGTTTTTCTTTTCACGGGGATTAGGTGGTGCGCATCTGCTGCAGTGAACTTCGAACTTCACATGACTTACAAGTAGATAATGTCACTACTACGAGTACACTAGACTAGAGGCAGCAGTAACCATGGTAACGGGCCCAAGCATTGAGTGAGTGACTCACTCACAATAACAGTCATGTTGTACTGAGGAGCACTTGCCACTGTGAAGGTTTTAAAAAGTAAAACGGCTGTTGCTGTTGCTGACCCATTCCAACACCCTTTTTGGCATTTTTATCGCCACTGGCAGAGCCCTGTACTGTAGTACATGTACTCATTTGCTGCTTGGAAGCTGCTAAGTAAAGGCCTCCCTAACTAGAGAGTCCCGTCGTACCTTACAGTATAATACTAGCCCGTTCCGCTGCAAGACTGAGACAACATGGCAGGTGATGTTCTGCATTATTCCACCAGTGAATCCATCCATGCCTATAGAGACGGTTCTGCCCATTATTGATGATAATGCCCAAGAAAAGGTATTAATGTTGCTTCGAATGTCGAGGTGCATGATTCAGGCACAATGGCAAATTTGCTCCTTAGTTGTAATTTGCCATGACCTGTGTACGTAGCAGCGCCTGCACAGCAATCACTAGGCGATGTCCATGATTGTATACACTCAGTATGATCGATAATGGGTAGCCGCTACCCAAAGGGAATATACACAAGCTAGGCATGTCACGCAAAAATCAAACAACGGCGTCTCTATAGGGAGACAAAGGCCACAGCCGAGCGGCATACATTGTGTTTAGATGCTGAACTCAAGACCCCCTCAAGCCCAAAGCAGACATGGACACAGAACTCAATACCATGATGCAGCTCACCTCAGCCCCCTCCAGCCCAGATAAGAGCAGTTTAACTGGAAGGAGGGGAGCTGCACAAGACCTCCATAGCAGCAGGGGTAATTCATTACAATCATGACAGTATTACAGTTTTTTTTTAAATTTTTTATACACTACATGTATGTCAGCGCATCCCTACAAAGTAATAGGGGTAATAAAAGAGACAAAGACAACATACAAAGACAACAAAGGAGTAATAGGTGCTAAAAGAGCTGTGCTGGTCAGGCACAGTGCACTCCTCCGACCATTCCGGTCTCGGAATCAGCATGAACTGTGCGGGCCAAGGGGGTGACTATGAACGATGGCCTTACGAGAGCATCTGAAAATGCAACAGAAATGAGAAAGAGAAGATCAAAAAAAAGAAAAAAAGAAAAAAATATAGATTGATCAAGCTTCAGGTTACGTAGGTCCCTAGCAGTCTGAGAGGGAGAGAGAGAGAGAGAGAGAGAGAGAGAGAGAGAGAGAGAGAGAGAGAGAGAGAAAAGAGAGAGAGATAGAAAGAGAGAGAGAGAGAGAGGCCCTGAGAAAGAGAGAGAGAGAGAGAGAGAGAGAGAGAGAGAGAGAGAGAGAGAGAGAGAGAAAGAGAGAGAGAGAGAGAGGAGAGAGAGAGAAAGAGCAGATTGAGGGAGTCCAGGAGGGTGCCTGGGCATATGATGTCCAGAGCCCTCCTCTGGACTCGACCTAGCTGATCGAGATGGGTCTGGCAGGCACCCATCCATACCCGGCAATGGGGCATACTCCAGGACTGGGTGTACGAAACCTTTGTACATAGCCAGGCGGCCTCCCCAAGGCAAGACGTGGGCAGCTCGTCGGAGAAAGCCCAGCCGTTGGATTGCACGGACTGCACTGCGTGACAGTGTGGAGGTGGTTGCGGAATGACAACCTGGCATCAAATGAGACCCCCACGAGTTTAAGGATCTCAGTCTTTGCAACTGGGGTACCTCCAAACGTTACAGGGTCCAGCGCTGGGGTTTCTGATCTCGTGCTGATCACCAGTTGCTGCGATTTCTGTGGCTCGAAGCGGATGCGCCACGATTCTCCCCACAGGTAGAGGCGGTCGAGGGCCCCCTGGAGCCTGTGTCCGGGTTTGCAGGATCATCAGTTGGTAGTACGAGATGGTACAGTGTAGTATCATCGGCGTATGTGCTCAGCTTAGTGCCTGGTGTTAGGCACTGGTCGATGTCACAGACGCCGGAAAGGAGGGAGAGCGTGGGGCCAAGTATGCTACCTTGTGGCACTCCAGTTGTGATT